TTTCTAATGGTAGATATAATTCATGGCACATTTAATTAACGATATTTTTATTTCCCATTTTAAATAATTCATGACACATTTAAGTAATAATTTATCTTTATATTTCTTATTTTAAACAATTCATGACACATTTAATTAATTAATTATTGGTGTATTTATTTATTTAATTTTGGCACTCTTAGCCCTCCATATATAATATGCATACAATGTATTAATTAATAACTGTTACAGAGAAAGTTATTCTGAAAACCGAAGGGGTGTGCATCGTTCCCTGTTGTCCACTGATCAAAGCACACCACTAGATGTGCCTGCCTTGTCTAGTTTTAAAGTTATTAACCCATTCATGTATTGTCACCTGCACAGTATACGGATACATTTGAACATTCAAAAATGAATAAAAAATCGCATGTAAAGCAATCTGGGAAACAAAGGGGTGTGCAACAGTCGCCATGAGCCCAAAATACTAATTAACCACCATACGTCATTACAGCTGAAAGGACCTATTTTATTAGCTATTAACATGATTTGGCACAAATCGCAAAATGTTTTGAAGCGGAAGAAAAATCGGTGTGCATCGATGTCTGCGTAATGGACATCACAATTCTGTCATTAAAAACGCCCACCTTACTTCCGTAAAGATATTAAAGCCAGAAAACTGAATATGTAATATGAGGCTAACTTAACCGCGTTGACAGGTTCCTAGTCGTTTTCTCACTACACATTTGCTTCTGTTTTGTCCTGTTGTAAATCATTTAATTGTTTGTTAAACAGAGGCTCACCTTAATTCTATTAAGTGACATATGAACAGACACTATTTTATTATTAGCTGTAAAACATAGAAACACGCTATTAAGTGGAGGCTAGACACAACAAATCTTTCATAATGAGTAGAAATATAAATACATAGCCCTACCACTTGACATGATGTTTTTATATTTCATCTTTACTTGCTGCCACGTACGCTTTCCACTACAATTGCATTTGAAATCGGATTAGTTATTGTTAACATTAGGTTTGCATTATGAGTAACATTACAGTAATGGAACTTCAGGGAGCATTACATTACTTAGAAGCATATAATAGGTGACTTCTGAATTGTGTCGCATCTGTTAGCCTCTGTAATTATATTAACAGTATTTCCATTCTTTTCAGAAAACACTTCATTGTCTAATACTCAGTCGTGAGATATTTTAGACCACGTTTTATGACCGTGAAAATGTACGTATGCACTTTCTCCGTTGTCAATACGTTGCCAACAAGCCTGCCTGCTTTTGCTGGCTGCAGTGGTATTGGACTTTCTTTACAGGGTTGATTTAAACTCCTCATAACCAAAATTAGGTTGACTACATCGGGGCTAATCAGTACTACGACGCCAGACTTAAGTCTGATTTAGTTAAACCCACTTCGTAGTACAGGCCACTGATTGCTTGAGTCCTGTCCCTGCTTCCACAGTCCCGGCTCGGGAGATCGTGACAACCCCAACACTGCGCCAACGCTAGACTATGCCATGTGGCCCATTGTTTATTTTTATTGTTACTCTGTACAGTAAAACCTCAGATAGCGAGTAACTTGGTTTGTGAGTGTTTTGCAAGACGAGCAAAATTTTTTTAATAAATCTTAACTTGATAAACAAGCAAGGTCTTGCAATACGAGTATTACGTATACACTTTATTTGCCGAGCGTCACGTGATCAAAACTGAGCCGATGGTTCTTCTCTCTCTCGCTGCGGGATTGTGGGTAATAGTCTCCCAAGTTCGGTCTCAGTCGGCGTGCTTCGTTCGTATAGTTAAAATTTAGTAGAAAAGCACCACCCGAATAAGGCCGTAGCAATGCGAGCAATGAATCTGTTTAACAACAATGCAATGTCCACATTTCCACGAAATCGAAAAGCGGCTGTCATTGGATAGGCTCCTTGTTAAAGTCGCGCAAAAAGAAAAAGATTCCAGTGAGCTAACAGATAACAGTGATTCTGTTAGTTATAGTCAGAGGTGTAAAGAGTACCTGAAAACCATACTTGAGTAAGAGTACAGATACCTTACT